AGCCTGGCTTTCACTTTGCCTTCCGTTGTTCAATACATGAATGAGAATTGTGAGTTCCGAAGCCGGCGACACGCACAACAAATAAGCCAGAAGTCATGACCGGCGAGCTGCCACCGGTCTATGCCGGCGCCGCACTCGCTGTCAGTGTCGATTGCAGAGCAAGGCCTGATCCCTGTTTCGATATTTTCGTCCTCCCGACCTTAGCGACTCCGCCCACAGCCATCACAAGAACTCCCCCTCTGTACGTCCGACTGAAATTGCGAGAACAATTACTGATACTGCTCCGGGCACCCGGAGCGCTGCTAACCGCCTCTCGAGCCGACAGAAATGAGTGATCTTTCTTGCCCCGTTTCCCGGCTCTCCAACCCACTTCGGGAGGGCGTACGAGGGGAGGGGGAGAGGGGAAAGGGGATGGGAGAAAGTACTGACAGACTGACTGAGTCGACTACATCGTCGACAATAGCGCAGCCAGTTCGTCAGGGGCTCTCCGAGTCGGAAGCCTATCGCCGTGCCAGCACCATCGGTTTTCGGTAAGACGTGCCTGTCCTACGGCAAGGCTCAAGGCCTTCTACGTTTTCTTCTTCCAAACGAACCAAGTTAGGTTCGTTTCTCTTGTTCCCTTTGACGTTAACTGAGCTGTTCGTTACTGAAGTCGTTCGCTGGCTCGCTCTCGAACTGCAATTGCCACTTGTACTCCAAACTTCTGACAACTGAAAAGTCCAACAACGAGATCAACTGCATGGATCGTACGATACGTGCCCACCGTCCCTGATGATGCTCTTGTTGGTCGAATCAATTTATAGAGCGCGTCCCAGACACATCGGGTTTCCGTGTTGCGATGGATCGGGAAAGATGGAATCAAGCGGGTTGACCAACGCACCGTCACGAGCGCTGGACAGCAGATCGATCGATGGATCGAAAAAGGAGGGTACATACAGAGCGAATCGTTTCCATCACTTGGGCAATCGTAGATGGCGGCGCCCTAGATGAGATGGCTCGCGACAAAGTATCTTGACCTTGTGTCCATAAAGATGGAATATAGTCGGCGGGCAGGCAGGCGGTTCAGCCGACGGAGCGGACCGGCAAGCAGACCATAGAGCGTAGTACAGACGTATTCCTCCCAGGGGATTTCGGGCTCTTACGAAGATTGTCGTATCCTGTCCGCGACGACGTCGGTCACTACGGGGCAGCATCGCTCCTCCGATATTCCCGCACTTGGCCCTCCTCTAAACGGACGAGCAAAAACTGTTTCGCGTGCGGCCGTGACATTTTTCCTTTCTGCTACGATGGGATTCGACAGAATCGAACTATTACGATCCCGGTGGGCTACGGCTCGGACATTCGTGGCCGCTGCCGAAATGAGCCGAAACCTCCATCCATCGAGTTGACTGAAGACCCTTGCATGCGGACGAGAGGAGCGACGATCAAACATGACATGAACAAGGGTTTTCTGCCATATCGGATTCTGCTGATTCGGAAGTCCCGAGATATTTCCATGATCCCTAAAAACTTCTGGACGAGCTTAGAAGACAACACGGCCTTGCGAACGGAATCGCAAGCTCATCCAAGAAAGATCTGGGAGAGGCTAACGCGATAAGAGAGTATTCCGGAGTAATATATCTTCGAGATAAATCTTCTCACTGAGCCCGCAGCGTGGAGCCGGAGTGGAGTAGCATCGGCGTATACGCTGTTTCCGTTGGGAAAAAAACAGAAACGCCGACATCAAGGGAGCAGAAACATCTGTCCAGCCGCGGCTCGAAGAGAGGGACGCAATCTCGAAGCGCTGCTGCACTGTTATTGGAGCACAAACTTCCATGGAAGAGCACGGAGGCTCTAGCCACACCAAATCGACAGACCAACTGATGCTCGCGGAGAGGAGATGACGACGACGAGCTCTCCTTCCTTCCGCCGCTGACGTTCTCGTCTAAAAATTGAAATCTCTGCCTCGCTGAGTGAGGATAATGAGCCGAAAATCCACCATAGGGCATCCGAGTCAGAGGAAGGTGTCCGCTTAGGAGCATGAGAATATTTTGCGAGGTGAATATGCAAAACTGATCGAGATTATCGACCGCATGTTGGAGCTCCGACTCCCCGCGCGGTATTGAGGGGCCAAACCGGACACGGAGGTGATGATTATCTACGACAAACATGTCTCGACCAAAACACAACTCGTGAGCTCGATCGATGCCGGAATCTTGGTTGTAGGTGCTGTCGGAGCAGGAAAGATGAAGAGCCAGAAGCGACTGACTAAGCGGAAGGAGACTGGATGTTGATAAGTTGAATTATGCTCTCTCATACGGCGGCGTATGTATAAGACGAGCGGTGATGGCGGTGCCCGCGAGAACGACAACGACGCGGGGAGGCACACGGGGCACGCCTCCCTTCCGTTCCCTCGCTTCCTTCTTTTCGCCTGTACAGCTTCCTACTCGATCTCCAGCTATTTTCTTCCTCCGATCCCGATAAAGGAAGACAAGACGCTGCGCTCGGCTCGCGAACTTAACTATAAGGCTCCCATCCGGTAAAGAATTGTCAGCGCCGCTATTGCTATGCTGAAGCCTACCACGACGGCGGCGGCGGCGGCGGCGGCGACGACGAGGATGAGAAGCAGCTGCGAGTCGCTCGATGGCTAGTCGCCGCTCTTGAAGCCCCACGCCACCACAACTAGTTCTTCTTTTACCGTTGAAAGCAAAGTTTCTCCCTTACCCGAATGCTGAATACGGGGTGGACTTTCGTACGGGATGTAGATGACCCGATCGCTCTGATGGTTGAATATTTTTTCTCTAGCGGCTATTCAGGTCCCGCGACCCCTATTCCATCTTTTTAGGAGGAGTTGAATCGTTCTCCTCGGATTCTAACACAGGCCCCGGGACGGAGGACGAGCCACGAAGTCGATCACCAGTCAAGGTCAGGATCTTCATCTACACACTGAAGGGAGCGAGTCGCGAGACTTGGTGGAGAAGTTTCAAAAATCTCCAAAAACCCTTGACGACAGAGCGAAATCGGAAGCGAGAGAGCTACTGATGCAAATCATCTGCGAGGCCGTCGTCTGTCGCAGAGAGCGCAAGCCGTTCATTTCTCCTTTTTTTGGATGACTGCCTCGTGTTTTTGAAGGCTTCGAGAGCCATGTCGAGGGGTCCTGAGGAAGCGGGCACGGCGCGCAGTTGGCACGACTCGCTCGTGGGATATCGCGATTTCTCCTGTTGACCGCCATCGTGTCGAGTCCGAGTGAACCAATTCCTCCGAAGCTGCCAGCGACCGACGCGACGCCGTGATCGGTGATCTCGGTAAGTTGCGGGCTCTTAATTCCTGGGACTCATGGCGAGAAGAATTTTCCCCCGCAGACACTTAGCCATGGGCTGGGTCGGTCAGTCGGCCAGCGAGTCATTCAGTCGGTCAGCCGCTACAAAGCGTAGATGAGCGAAGATGGACTAGTGGCGCCCGAAGCCGTCGTTTCTGCTCGCAGTTGGCGAGTCGGTAAAGTACGCGGGAGGACAAACTAATCGCGCTCGCCAAAATCGATGGACCAAATAATCCGCGTGGAGTCTTTGCTAGCGGTGCTGCAGGACTTCCCTCGGAAAGCTCTTCTATCGGGTCGATGGCTCTATCGCAGGAAGCAATAACTCACCTGGAAAAAAATGAAAGCGCTGGCTTAGTTCTTGTTAATTTTCCATGATTGATTCTTTGATATCGAGACTCGGACGTAGTCTCACGTGAATTTCTCCGTCCTTACGACGGGAAGAACGTTCCCCCGGAATCCTCTCAGGCATTGGACGGTCCATTTAAGAGATGGAGCCCAAAAGTCCATCTTTGGGCGTTTACCCACGGAGTCATCGTCGAGACTCGATCTACCCCACCCCTCCTCCCCCCTCTTCCATCTCTGTCCCTCTTTTCCGTCCGCTGTTCATTCCGTTTCCTTTCTCTGAGTCGCTACCGAAAGTTACTCGGCGCCCCTCGACGTTCCGCTTATATTCGCCATCTTCACGACTAGCTCTAAGCACTGCTGGCCGGCACTCAGTTTGCCTTGACGTCCCCTCTCACATGTCCCTCGTCATGGCTCCCTCCGATGCCCCCAGCGCCAGAGTTTCCGGAGTGGCCCGCGAAGCGAGCCGGAACTCCACAGTTCTCCGCAAGACCCCCGTGACGACTCTCTTTCAGCGCGTTCACGTGGCGGCAGTCTGTTTCCATCCTGGATGCTCGACACGGAGACGTGGGCGATTTCGGGAGGCGGCGCATTTGTCCGTCCGCTCGTTCTGATGTGAGGCGTCATCGCAGCGATTCCCCTCCCGGCTTGTCCCTTCTCGGATAGTTCTTGTTCGTTCTTCGCGCGGAGAAGGCCATCAGGCCGTTTGAGTACTGCGCGAGCAAGCGCTCCGAGCGGTCTCTCGCCCGCGAGATCGCTCTGTACATGCCTGTACTTTCCTTTTCTGAAGAGATCAGGATGCGATCCGAGCTCGCTGAGCGACCGGCCGATGGGCATCCTGCGACGCAGGCCCCAGGCGAAAAACAGGCAATCCAAGCCGAGATGATGCGGCCAATTTTTGTAATAATCAGAACACGGACGAAGCGGGGAAAGAGGCGAAGCGACGGCGCGGCGGTAGCGGGAGATGCCCGCTCTCGCTGCAACACTATCGCTCGCCAAGCCTTGATGCCTCTTCGTTCGTCCGCCCCCGTATCTTGATGTCAGCCTTGATGCTCATCGCTTCGGCACAGCATAACTCAGCCGGGCCACGTATAGGTTGAACGACCAGTTTGAGAGAGACCCGGTTTTCGGTTTTGCTTGCTCGGAGGCAGTGGCGTTCCTAGCCCATTTTGCGCCCGGGGCAGAGGACGGGAATGCGCCCCCTTCATGTCGATTTTTTTTTCTACAGAAGACGACGGATTGAGTTTTCAGTATACTTTACATATACATCTTTACATTTATTGTTCTGATCTCTTCACTCTGTTTAAACTTAAAACATTCGAAGGTTCCGAATTACCACGTATCACAATATACCACATGTTTAAAATACGACTTTTCGAGCCTTCACCGAAGCGAAGGTATCGATTAAAGATTCGAAGTCGGTGTCCTCGGTGACTTCTCTCTCTATGCTCATGATAGAGAGATCAATCAGTCTGTCTTGCCCCATTGACGCTCGGAGGTATGATAGGATGAGCTTAAGCTTGCTGAAGGATCGCTCGCAACTGGCGATCGAGACGGCAATCGTCAGTAGTATTTGTATCGCTACCCGAAGATTGGGGAAGACACTCTCGTCGCCGTATTCTATGATGAAATTGAGGAGTTCTTCGGGTTTCCTTAATCGTAACTCCTCCCGCACGCTGACTAACATCCTACAATCACATATCTCTCTGTATAAGTCGTTACCGTCGACATCATCCGAATACATATTCGCAAATGACAAACAATCGGACCTCAATTCGTTCAGCTGGCCTTGTAGTAGCCGCTGAGTGTCGAGAAGGAACCCGAAAGTATTGTCTAGGTTTGTCAGTCGCTCGAACCTTTCTCTCATTTCTCGCTGAAGCCGGTCGATCGTTGAGTACATAACACGGCGCATTTCTTGTATAGCGGAGATTTCAGAGTTTCGGTGTTCATCTGGCATACTTCTTCTTCTCCTATTGCGTTTCTCGAATGCTACATCGTATTCATCGCAGAGGCATTGGCCATCAGTGATGGCTGCGTCTACGAAATCGCATCCTTCTCTGGAGAAGGTGTTCTTCAGAGACGACAGATCATTGGCAGCTTCATGGAAATTCATGGAGGGATCCTGGAGTCTCTTCTGGACCCTATCGACTCTGCTCAGGAGGTTATTCCAGAAGCCGTGAAGCGTCAAGAATTCATACGAGACCATGCGGGTGAATAACTGACGTGCCTCACTTCTAGTTTCTACCGAGTCGCAGGAGTCATCAGACATTTTATCCAGGAGATCGATAATCTCCCTGACATGCGTGCTGACTACTTTGACAGCATCGCTGCGAGAGCTCCATCTTGTTTCAGACTCGCGTTTCAGTCCGACGGGGATCGTCTTTTTCAACTTCTCCCATCGCAGAGTCGAACGGGAAAAGAAGGCGTACAGGGCTTCAATAGTCGCGAAGAAGCTAATCATTGCTGGTTCACTGCGGGCAGAGTGCAAGCCGGCTAGATTGAGGGAATGATTATCACAATTCACGAATAACGCTAAACCATTCTTCTCGAGCAGCCGTTGATTCACACCGGAGCGGTGACCGGCCATGACGGCGGCATTGTCATAGCATTGGGACCGGCAGTTCCCGAAATCCAGCTTGTCGTCCTCAAGTTTTTTCAAGATCGTCGCTACCAATGCCTCAGCATTCTTTTCATGTACTTGAACGAAGCCGAGGAAAGACTTCCTGACCTGAGCTTTTTTTCTGTTCATAATCAACGTCGACATATCTCAACACGAACGAAAGTTGCTCTCTGTGAGCAAGATCGGGTGTGGAATCCACGAGAATCCCGTAATATTTGGCCTTTCTGATTTTTCTCAGGAGTTTTTCCTTCACTTGTCCTGCCATGAGATGAATGAGCTCATTCTGCGTTCTAGACCCCAGATAGGACGTCGAGCCCGGATTTCCCCGAGAGCGAGTCATGTGGTCCTTGATGATTGGGTCGAAGTTTGCGACGAGCTTCATTAGGCCGAGAAAATTCCCGATATTACCCACGTCTTCGCATTGGTTTTCCCGGTGGCCTCTGAGTGGCAAATTCTGTGTAGCCAGGAATTTGATGCAGTGACTTATTCTGCTGAGAACATACCTCCATTTCTGTTTCTCGGTTGCATACACTGATTGCACTTCGATATCGATAGCGCTATTAGTTCTCAGATTTCTTTCGAGCTCTTTCCAATCAGCGAAACAGGCTCTATGAGACGGAGCATTTTCATGAGCATCCATCCTTTCTATATTTTTCCACTTCGTGAATCCTTGGGAGGACGTCAGTGCTGAATTGTGTCCATCAGCTCTGGCGAAGAGAAGGCAGCAGAAGCAGTAAGCTGCGCCCTTCGTTGGAGAGTAGACGAGCCATGTGCGGAGAATCTTTGTGCCGAGGCCATTTCCCAACCTTTTGTAGAACCACGATTGAGTCATGCATCTCCGCCGCGTCGAAAAAAAAGGGCCGTTTCTGTTCTGAAAGTACTCGCTCCCTAGGGTCACCATCTCAACTCTTAAACTATCGGAGACGGTGACTTTTCCGGAATTCGAGTGAAACTCCAGTAGCCCAAGATCGTGCTCGGCGATAGCTGCCGGTGTGGATGAGACATTGGTTATGAGTGAGTCTTCCGGAGCGTTCACTGATGATGCTGTGACACTGGTATCCCGGGAAATTTCTTCCGAAGTCACTGGGTCTGAGTCGCCGTCATAAAGAGAATCAGTCGGGGTCGGCGGTATTTCATGGCCATCACGAAGAGATTCAGTCGGAGTCGACGGTATTTCATCGCGAGCACGAAGAGAATCAGTCGGAGTCGACGGTATTTCATCGCGAGCACGAAGAGATTCAGTCGGAGTCGACGGTATTTCATCGCGAGCACGAAGAGAATCAGTCGGAGTCAACGGTATTTCATCGCTATCACAAAGGGAATCAGGGGGAGTCGGTGGTACTTCATCGTGATCAAATGGGGTTCCCGGCGGAAGAGTTTGCGGTGTTGTCGATTTATTCCGAGCTAAAAATGACAGGAGAACCTTTCGACTTTTCTCCGTCTGTCTATGGATCGATTTCCTTCGTTTTCGGCCCTGAGCTCCGCTTTCCTTAATACCATTTCGTTTCATGTCTATACTTCAGTCTGCAAAACAAGCTAACATGAGAGCTTCGCCGTGACTCGAGTCATGGATTTGGAGCTTCAATTTCATCGGAGAAGTCGCAGAACTCACCCGAATTTCCACAGTAATGTATGTGTGTGTATTTCTCGCAGAACCCTTAATTGTTTACGCGCCAAACTTTGGCGAGAGAGCGAGATAGTGAATTCCGTGTGGCGCAAAGACACGGGGAGGAGGATCAGCGAGGGTCACTGAGAACGTACATATATCTCTTGGAGACATTCGCTTCACTCGAGCGGACCAATAGGATGGCTCTCCATGTTGCGGGAGGAGATAGCTTCACTGTCTCTTGTATAAATTTTGAATTCCACTGTATTAGAATCAATTCTAACCTCCCTATTCGCGCTTAGCTAAAATGAACAGAAATCACGATTTTGCGCCCCTCCGAAGTCGGCGCCCGGGGCACGTGCCCCGGTTGCCCCCCCCTAGGAACGCCACTGCTCGGAGGGGGTCTCTCCCTTCTGCCCGTCTCGCTGATCGTCGATGTTTGTCTTTTATCCCTCTCGGTTTCCGGGTTTTCGAGTTCCTCCATCGGGGTTCGACTTCGATGTTATCGAGAAAGATTGCGCCAGCGGTGGGGGACCATCGAACGCCGAGATCCTGCGTGGAAACTCAGCGAGAGAGCTCGTTTCGCAAGCCTCCTCAGGACTCCCGGTTAAAATTAAGCGATCTTCGGTATTCATTACGGGAAAGCAATCGAAGCCATCATGGGACTCCAAGTACTCGAGAGCAGCTCGAGCTGAACTCCCGTGCAACATGAGTGGAACAGCCTTCCGAATCCCGAGTCAGGTCGAGAGATACGATCCGCACGCTGATAATTATTGAGGTCAAGCTCATTTTCCATCAAGCCCTCCTGAACGGCCAACTCCGGTCAGGGCTGAGGGCAAATACCGAATTCAGATATCAATATCGGTCGGAAACGGCTGCATACAGCATGAAATACACGGGATTCCTCGAAGGTCCCGTTCCCCTCTGCGAGAGCTCGATCTCGTCGATCTCAAGCCACGTACATAGGAAGCGTAGAGAATATGGGTGCCAGCCGATGCTCTTCAGACGAAGAAAGTCTTAAACACCCAAGTACTCCCGCACACCTGTTCTTCACACAAGACACCGAATTCCTTTTCCCCCTAGCGAATCTCGAGATGCCTTCGCTCCTGGTATCCTCTCGATATCACAAAAAGAGTATCAATTACGAGCGATTCGCACATCGTTACAAAATGAAGGAATGCAGACGTCGTATCTGCGAGGGGATGCGACAGGCAGTAGGTGCACCGACAATAATAATAATTCTCCCCGTTCTGCCGGATCTCTCGATTTGCCCCTGCGATCGGTGCCGCTGTTGCACCCCTCAGATGCTCTGGTTCGTGCGTGCCAACGAAAGCCGGAGGACAGCCGAAGAGGAATCGGAAGACATCGGAGGGGAAGGGTGTATTTCACCACGACGGTTCCCGCAGCGGCAGAAGCTGCGTCGCCGATAGCGGACGGGGCCGCGGTAGGAGCGCGGAATGCATTCCGCCCGGGAGCAGGATTGCTGCGAAGTATTATTTGCGAACGGGAGAGGAATTTAATAAAATTCTCAATCTTTGACGGCAATTCGTTTGCTTTTCAACGACACTTGATACATACAGCAATAGCAGGGTGCGGGAACTATTGCAACGGAGTAGTGGCGTTGCAGGGCGGAAGAGACAGCTGCAATTGGATGGAGCGACGAGGCGATGTGAGAAAGTGTCCCCGAAGGCTGCTCTTCTGTGTCCGCCTCGGTTTTTTTCCGCTCTTCGGCTTCTTTGGAAACCATTCAGGATAATGCTTGCCCTCGCTCGTTTCCGATTCTCTGGATGTATCGCTGTCCCGCTTACCCGTAGATAGATAGATGCATAGATTTATCTATATATGTATGTGAGTTTCTGTATGAATGATTAATACAATACGCCCCGAAGCAATTTCCGCTTCCATATCGAACTTCATTCGTTCGGCCACTCGAGCTTCCCCTCAGCTCTTGTCTTCCCGTGACCGACAGCTGGGGACCAGAAATCCAACCTGTGTGCTGCGTAGAAATGAGCCACATCTTGAATTAGCACATTCGATCGCTCCCAATGTGGAGACTCCACGGACATCAGTTCGTCTGTCCGTCGTCGCTCGATTTCACCGGTCGACGACGACTTAGTGCTCCAGGCTGTCTCAGGAGGGAACAAATTCTTTCCTCTCCGGTTTTCTCCCTACTTGATATCGAGTGAGTTTTTTTCCGGCCGCATCTGTCGCAGGCGATCATCCCTCGTTCGATAGAAGTCGGTACCCACTACCAGCTCAACAGCGGCTTGTTCGTGGTATTTATCCTTTTCTTCATCGAGTGTTCTTTTTGTGGTCAATGGAAGCGGATTTCGTTTGCAGGAGAAGATTTGGAGAGGAGGAACAAAGGCAATATTACACAGTCAGGATGCGGTTGCCAGAGTGAGTTCCCGAGCTCTTGGCTGTTCTCGCCAATTTCACCCAGGGAACGGCGGCTGCCAGAGCCGTCGGTGCCGTTCCGCAGACAAAGAAAGACAAGGAAGACAAGCACGGAAACGTCGCACGGAAGGCCCGAAGCCCACCCGCCTGCCCGCTCACTCGACCGTCCGCTCCGGCAGCGGCGAGCAGAGTCGAATAGAGTTTGGTAGGAGCAAGGAAACGACAGACTGAAGCCTCAAGTCCTAAATTGAGTCTTCCAGAGGCGGAATTGTGCGCTTCTCCCTTCCGTGCTACGCCTGAACAGCCTGTTTCTCATGGTGTATCTGCTATTTTTTCTCGCTCGTCCGCCTGCCTGCCGGCTCGCCTTACGGCCCCCACGCTCAGACAAGCAGAATATGAAGCCACGGAAAAAGAGTGGGAGACGAAGTGGAAGAAGAGGCATAAGGAGCATATTTCATTTTTCGTTTCGAGAGAGCCGCAACAAGACGTGCTCAGCATATCCTCCTGCAGCGGAAGAGCCGACAGACGAGCAACCAGCCAGCCAGCCAGCCTGACGGATGGACAGACGGACCGACAGATTCGCAAAACAGCCCGCGAGCGAGGCACGCAAACAGCCTGCGTAAAAAAGATGCTCCCGTAGCAGGATCCTGCCCGTTTCCAGGAAGACGCTGGTCGCGCACCCTGTCCATGGTCAGCCCGACCGACTGTCTGTCGAGCTGGCCACCATCAGCCCGGCCTCCTATGAATGGTTAAGCTCCACCGGTGTTCTTGCCGCGGCCGACGCTACGACAGTTACATAAGGAGAATAGCTGCAGCCACAGTAGTTGGAAAAAGTACCGCGTAGGTAACTCTCCTCAGGAAGGAGGGCCGCACACAAACTCGGAATGCGCTGCATCACGAACACGCAGCAAAGGATGAATTTTCCACCCGGTGCCATCAGCCGAGCAAGTCCGCGACCGGTTGTTGTACCGAATAACTCCGGCAGCACCACTGCGACTAGCAACAACGTCCAGTTACGCTCCCAACAGAATAATGCTGTACAATTCAATTTATACGAGGAACCCGCCCAGAACAATGATCCAACCGGCAGCGGTCCGGCGAAGGCCGGAAGCGGCAGCGGTCATCAAGAGCGACCCACGGGATCTCCATGTTGCTCAAGTATGCCTCGTTCCGGCGGCTTCAAGCAGGCGCGGATGAAGTCTCACCGAAGGCACCAGGCATTCTGCCCCGAACCACGGTTCCAGCGATGGAAAAGAAAATGCTCGGGAAGCGTCGGCTCAGCGTGGGGCAAGTTGCCTGTCGAAAGCTCATAAATCACACATGGCACCGCCATATTCTCGCGCGGACGCGTAGTGCGATGTGACCTTTGCCTCGATGTGCTTTCATGTCCCGAGCTCACGATATCGAGAATAATTCGACGTTCACCCCTGAATAGATTCGCTCAGCATGCCGTCAGACTCGGCTAGAAGCGAGCGGTTCGCGAACAATTCAGCGTACTTCCGGATGGATGAAGGGAGCGAGCGAGCCAGCTTCGTACGTGGGAACGAATAGGAAGCAAAGAGGACGAGCAAAGCGATATTGAAAGAAGAGCGAAACAGGTGATGTGGAAGGTAAAGTCTTATTGGACTCGCTGAGGCGAGAGCCCAACGCCGGATACGATAACGCTCTGTTTAGCGCTCTGTCCACAATGGTCGATCTAGAAAGCCGTGGTCGCGGCTCCTCGCCAATCGCTCTCCTCTCTCGGTTTCTACTCCTGTCGTCCACCAACTTTTCCTTCCCTATTCCTCTGCTATTCCCGCTCCCCGAACATGTCAATCGTATGTGAAGCA